AGATCCATGGCAGCTATGGTAGCGATGGAGAGGCATCTGTGGATGAACCTGGCAGACATCGGGAGGAAACAACTTCCTGCATAACAGTCTCCTACTGGACCTATGATATTTTGGTTGGTTCTATGGTTTCATAGTGACCACCTTACTGATGGTCCGGTCTAGAGGCATCTCCGGACAGGGCTCCGACGCGGGCTAAATCCATACTATGGTAAGTGCACCCGTTAAGCTTTGCGCACTTTCTAAAAATCCACATAGCTGGTAAGTGTGCACGTTATGCTTTGCCCACTTTCTAAAATCCACATAAGTGGTAAGTGTGCACGTTATGCTTTGCCCACTTTTCTGAAATACTGTATGGTAAGAGTTACGTGTTATTAACCTCGTTCCCTTTCTCTGAGTTGGTTTAGACCCGGTACCTCGGGCTCCACTCATCTAGTGTGTCTCTTTCAACACACTCTGGAAGTATCGCTCCCCTAAACATTGAGGGTTATTGTGAGCATGGTGCTTTCTTTCGAGCGTTTAATTCTCTCTGAGGAGTTGGATTCCTCGTTTCATGGGCTGTTCTCGTGGTAGTGGAAGTATCGCTCCCCTAAACATTGAGGGTTATTGTGAGCATGGTGCTTTCTTTCGAGCGTTTAATTCTCTCTGAGGAGTTGGATTCCTCGTTTCATGGGCTGTTCTCGTGGTAGTGGAAGTATCGCTCCCCTCAACATTGAGGGTTATCGTGAGCATGGTGCTTTCTTTCAAGCATTTAATTCTCTTTGAGGAGTTTGATTCCTCGCTCCATGGGCTGTTCTCGTGGCAGTGTTAAGCAGTGCTCCCCTTTTATCAAAGGGTTACCTGGAATGAGCACACTATTCCTCTGAATTCAGAGTTCTCCTCTCATGAGAAGTTGAGTTCTCTGTTTTCCAGAGCACCTGGAACCAGCAGCATCAGGTGAATTAGGCCCTTCCTCTGCCTCTCTGATGCGCTGAGTGTTTGGCTAGCTTGCAGCTTTGGAACATGCTGTAGGTCGAGCTTTCTCTCGATTGAGAGCTGGATGTTTGCTCCCTCAGCTTCAGATTTACTGCTAGCCACTCCAGCATTATAAGCCTTAAGAAGAGTTGATGACTTCTCAAACATAGCGTTTTGGGATGCACCATTTCCATCTATGGGCTGCTCTTTCAGAGTGCCACGAGATCCCCTTAGAACAGTATTTTTAAATCCATGTTATGGTAAGTGTGCACATAAGTCTTTGTACACTTTCTAAAATCCACACAGTTGCAAGTTTGCACGCTAGTATTCTGCGCTCTTTTCTAGAATCCTGTATGGTAAGAGGTACACGCTGCAGCTTCGTGCTCTTTCTGAGTGGTTTAAAACCCCGGTTCCGCCTTGGGCACCACTCCACCTATGTATCCTCTGGATACCTACTTTAACAGGGTGTTGCTACTAGGGGTCTGTTGAGACCGTTCCTTCAGCATATACAGAGCATGTGGTAGCCCCTGTGTGACAGGTCAAGACTAGTATGATTCTAGGCTCTTGGTCACATTCCCTTAAAGGAATCTATCCTGATTCCAAGCCTTGAGCTCTATCCCGGGCGCAGGAGTAAAAAAAAAAAAGTCTGGCCCTAACAGGTAAGTTTTTTGGGCTATGTAGCCTAGGCCTTTGGCCGTAGGGAATAATGTCACTGACAGCCGTCTAATGTCCCAGGGGCAACTCCCATGGCAATATGGTAGAGTTGGTACTTAGTGCTCACTTCGAAGTTCCCATGAAAGGGAATGTCTCAGGTTACGTATATAACCATGGTTCCCTGAGGGGGAACGAGACACTGCATCCTCTAGGTTTCTTGCCATGCTGCGGACACAAGCTTCAGATGAAGAAGTGGAAGATGTGTTCTCCCGGTGCCTATTTATACCATAGTCGCACCGGTAGTGATGTCATGGCTGTCCCCGGCCAACGTGTTGTTGGTGTTTTTTCAATGTATGCTTCAGACACGGGTCACGACGAGGCATTCCCCATAGCGACCCCTAGAGGACGCAGTGTCTCGTTCCCCCTCAGGGAACCATGGTTACATACGTAACCTGAGACGTTCTTTCAGTAGCCTACATCGAAGAAATTTACATGAAATGGTTCTGTAACATCTCCTAAGCTCCACAACATCCCAGCATAAACACTCCCGATAAAATATTTGTTATTTAGGCTAAGCATCAACATTCACAAACCACTGTAATTCTTAACAGAAAAGCAAGCATGGGCTGCTGCGTGCATAGTTTGGCATGGCAGAATGCGAGCAGCGCTTCCTTTATTGTCACTAAAAGCTGACATCTCAGTTAATCACAATCTCATAAAGCTCTGTTATAACACAATAAATGTGTGCACAATGAATCTTTCACAATGTCTGCACTTCGTGTGTTAAAATGAGACGATTTGTGAGCACGCAATTTCAGCACTGCGGTGAGTAGATTCTAACTTAATCACCTCTGATTGGCCATTGCGTTCCAGAAATCAACAGCTGAGTCTGTGATTGGCTACATTGCGTAACCCTTCAAACACGTGTTATAAATAGAAACTATGCCTAGCTTGCGCATGTCAATCATTTTAATGTTAATATTAGTTGTTATTTTTGCTTTTGTGCAACAGATAAATAACAATTTATATGTTTTAGACACTTTATGTTTAGATAATTTCTATTTTGAGGGAGTCCCGCAAATTATTTTATTATCCCGCACACACACGAGTCTCTTCCCGCCCACACTTGCCCTTCAAGGGTTGTCCCGCACCGAACCCTGTTGCGTTGGGTCCCGCGGGAGTGCAGGTCTCTACTTCAGAGTCATTAGCCACTATAGGTAAGCGGAGTAAAGTGACGTGACATGTGGCCAAGTATGGTGACCTCTACTCAGAATTAGTGCTCTGCATTTAACCCATCCTAAGTGCACACACACAGCAGTGAACACACACACACCCGGAGCAGTGGGCAGCCATTTTTGCTGCGGCGCCCGGGGAGCAGTTGGGGGTTCGGTGCCTCGCTCAAGGGCACCTCAGTCTTGGTATTGAAGGTGGGAGAGAGCACTGTACATTCACTCCCCCCACCTACAATCCCTGCCGGTACGAGACTCAAATAACTCACCGTTATTCCTCACAGTCATAACAAAATCCAGTTTGGTAGCTTAACAGATGCATGTGTTAGCATCTGTTCTCATGTTAGCTTAATCAACAAATTAGCCTGGTTTGAATTCAAGTCATAAAAACATCATAAAATATTGTACGTCCAAAGAAATCAGTTAAATACCTCAAAATCGAAAAACAATCACAGCAGACAAAGAACTTTTCTGAGTGTGTGTGGAATAAGTGTCACTCTGGCTTATTTGTGACTGAAGATTTCTAGAGAGTCAGTCTTGGTTGTGCGGTCTATCATATAGATCTTTACAGTTTGAAGTTCTGCATGATACATTTGTGCCATGGATTACTCAAATGAATGTTTTAGTAAGTAAATGTTTGTATCACAGCTCATATCAGGTCAAATCACTGGGCAGCAGCCAACATGAAAACCATGTTTCAAACACATGATTAAAGCTGTGCAATTTATATTGACATGATCACATTAACAAAGCGTTTATGCTAAATATGAAATGATGGACCAAACATAATAATGATTTATAATTCACAAATGAATCGCTTTAGGTGTGTGTTTCTTGGTGAATTGAAATTTTTGACACCATTTATGTAATGTAATTGAAAAAATATGATTGTATTGTGAAAGTTTATATAAACTATATTGTAGGCCTACTACAAAAATTAAATTTTATGAACAAATATGAGTGATGACTCGAATGAATCAGCTATTCAATTAATTGATAATGTGTTTTTTGAACATTAAAGCATGTCAACATATTCTGTTACACCAAATACACAAAATAATGATCTTTAAAATAGCATCATATGACCCCTTTAAACTATCCATTAAAATGAATGAATGCCAGCCATTACTGCTCTGTCTGTCCTATTGTTAACCAGTAGCAATGTCCAATTTAGATGCAGAGAACAGGTGATGCATGTTTATTTATCCTTAGCTTGTAAATGAAATGAAATAATGAAAATAATGGCAATGTGAAGAAACAACAACATAATATATTGGGCACAGGACATTCATTTGACATGATGCAGATAATCATACAGTATTTATGTAAAGTCAAGATTTCAGGAGTCAAAATGTGCTTGTGAGCAAACATGAATGAAAAAATTACTCATTTAAATAGGGACAATCTAGAAAAATCTACTGCCATACAATAATTTCTTAAGTATCATCATTAACATATAAACTCTATCACATTGCAACTTCTAATATTTTAGCTAATAAAATGTCTAGATTTCAACGTCATAGGCCGACATACCTCAGGGAATCAGGGAAGATACATTTCAGTCACTTTAAATCTTTTTTTTTTTTTTTACTTGCCAGCTTTACATTATTGTACTTCTTCTTGACTTTTTGGATTGAATGATAGCACAAAACCTGAATGGACAAAGCCAGGACAACACACATCCAACACTGCCGACAGTAATGTGGGGAAACATGGCATACTGTAAGCTCGAGCTGTTTCCAGAAATAAGGCTTGTGAACTGTTTGACGTAACTCACAGTGAGGTAAATGCACAGTAAAACAGCCAATCAGGACAATGAGGTAGATGCTTTCAATGATGGGAGATTCTGAAACTATAAAGACACAAACCTGCAGAAACCTTTGTGTTTCAGTGTTTGTACCACATAAACAATTCAAGGAGGAAATCATGACAGAATTTCTACATGTGAACAAATTTCTTTTTCACTGCAGGCAAAATAAACAGTGGAAAAAAGAAAGAACATTTAAAGTGATTTAGCAAAATTTAAAAAACCTAGAAAAATAACCTTTCACCAGTTTAACCGATTCCTTGTTAATATAAAAACTATGATACTTAAAAAAAATAGATATTTAACAATGTTAACCTCAACAGTCAAGTAATTTGTTGTCATTTATAGTTGTTCCCACTTAATATGACTACTGAGTTTGTTAACCAAAAAAGTAATAATAATAATAAATTAACATATTAATCAAGATTTATTCCATGCCCAACTTTCCATGCATGCCATAATATGTTTTGGTATAGCACATGATCTGTAACGTTTAAACATACTGTGGGACATACACACATACTGCTTGTCTGAAGACACATATTCATGTGTACATACTCACAAACACCTGTCCCAGTAGCATGTTGTTGTTTTGGGGGCAGTATGTATCTCACAATTTGTTTGTGTATGAACTCTGTGATTTCAAGTAAATAGTTTCTACCTCAGTGCGCTTCAAAGCATCTTCTTTATATTTACCACGTTGTCCTTATTTCCTCATGGTTAGATTCCACATTTGACAATTATATTCCTTTTGAGGCATTGTACATAATTTATTTGATAGGAACACATGAATGATGTTTAAATGCAAACATGAAGTTTGCTTTGTCCCACGTAGCGCTGCTCTGGTGAAGCTTCATATTGTCCTTGATGATACTGTGCTGCATATGTGCAGATCTGTAGGACAGGAAGTCCATTTTCATGACTGTACCTGTAAACAAAAAGAGAACAGAATTCTTACCCATTGGATATTAAAAGATGCTAAAAGCTGTTGCTTTATTGTGTATTTTAGCACGACTGGAACACCCAGAAGCCAGGACCATAAAACCATAAAATCAAATAAAATTATTATTATTGTTGAATATGACTAGGTTCCTAAATACAACAGTATGAAAATAATGATTGCGATTGAGACACTATCACAACTAAAAAGAGATTTAAGTTCAGTAAAGTAATGCTACAAGGTCAATGCAAAGACAATTTGTTTGTTTTTACTTTGTTTTTTAATTTCTAAAAGTGGTCATAGTTAGTTCTTGTAAAGTTTAAACTCAAGTGCGGATATGGATACCATTAAAAAGCAGCTATTTCAGCCGGTATCACGGTGTGGTCGGTTTTTTTGTTTTTTCAAAGAGATTGTTTGCATACACCCAAATAATCACGTTCTAATTTTTTGACCAAAAAAAAATACAAAAAAGAATGAAATATTTTAATTGTTTACCTGCATGTCATGTGACCATTTACTGAAATCAGAGAACCATGAACATGCAAATGTGTTTTTAATGTCAAAGGTGTTTGGCTGCCAAATTGTGAATCCCTGCATTAAGACATAATTGCTATTTAAATTGTGTTTTTATACATCATGGTATTATTTGTTGTGCTGCATTTAATGGTATAAATACTTAACAATAATCAGAATTTGGGGGATAAATGTGTTGATTATGTGCTTAATAATTAGTAATTTTTTTAGAGTGGGAAACAGCTCACAGTTACACAAGTTTTAGAGGTAAAATGTGACCTGAACATGTTTTAACCCATATTGGATATGCATGATAAAGTAACCGGAATAAGGCAATAAACTATAGAAAATGATTTTTCAGCTAAAGGTGTTTTCTGCATTCATAAATCCCAATATGACTACTACAAACACACAGCCAGTGATCAACGTTATTTAGATGGACCTGCTGTTCTACACTGCATCACTGACACAGAGCAGTCAGTCTGTCAGCAGCGTGGCAGAGCACACAATGTTCAAGTGCAGATGGTAGTGCATCTTGATTAGAAAAACATCTCAATAAATAAACCATATATTAAACATAAATCTTCTGCATGATGATTTGTTTGATTTTTTTTTCAAAAATATAGGCTAAACATTAATTTGCTTCCCCCAGCTCACTGGCCACATTTGATTATGGTCAAATATATAATTTTTCTACTACTTGAGTTCTGCTTTGATCTTAAAGTCTCAGCTGACATTTGCATCCACTTGTTTTTCCAAAAATGTATATTAATGATTTAACCTTCTTTTTTTATTCAGGATTCACACAAAATAATTGTAGAATTCAAACAAATAAATAAATAAATAGGAAGCATTAACACATTAACATTGCCATCAACAATACAGGAACAACACACACAGTAACACCACCACTAACTGCAACAGCAGCACTGAGTGTGAAACTTCTGGCAGTAACAGCACCGGCAGTAATAAAATTGACAGTAAAAGCATTAACAGTAACACCACCATTGAACAGCAACACCATCAACAGTAACAACAATATCACTGTCATTAATGCCATCGACAGTAGCCACGGGTAGTAACGCCACCAACAGTAACAACATTGGCAGTAACACCATCAGCAGTAATGCCACTGACAGTAAACCATTAGCAGTAACCACACCACCAGTAACACCATCAACAGAACCACCACCAGTAGTAATGCCACCATCAACAGTAAGACCACTGACATTGACACCATCGACAGAAACAGCACTGACAGTAACATCATTGACAGTACCACCATCAGCAGTAATGGCACCACCAGTAACACCATCAACAGAACCACCATCGGTAGTAATGCCACCATTGACAGTAACACCATCAACAGAAATGCCACAGACAGTGACACCATCGACAGTAACACTACCGACAGTAAAAGCACTGCCAGTAACTCCACTGAAAATAACACCACCAATAGTAACACCATCAGTAGTAATGGCACCACCTGTAACACAATACCAACCACCGGTAGTAATGCCATCATTGACAGTAAGACATCGATAGTGGCACCACTGACAGTATCGTAATCAACACCATTCAAATTGGCCCTTTAAAAATTATAATATTTATAACTAAAATGTAGCATGAAGATTTTACTCAGTAGTGGAGAAAAAAAATCTTGGGTAACATCTACAAACTGTCACCTGATGGAGTTTTGCTTTTTTGCCACTGTCGCCTTTTGCTTGCTGAACTTAACTGAATTGAGCTGGATAATGACACTAACATTGCAACATCAACACAGTTATGGAAATGAATTGAAACAACATTGCACTAAATTGAGCTGAATTATGACACTGGTGCCTTCTTAGAGCTGCTTTACAGTTGAAGTTAAATGTTTTTTCTTTTTTTAATTTTCCTGTTAATTAATGTAATACTGCTTTGAAACAAATGGTACTGTATAATACAGCTACATAAACATCATGACACTGATTGGCTGATGGCACCACAAGAAGGTCTTAAACCTCACCATTTTTTGGGTGCTATTATATTGCAGTAACACCACAGATATTAAAATCAGTGACAATTGTTTTATTGTAAATGATTAAATACAATTTTATTTATTTAATTTTAGTTATTTCAGTTTCTGAAAAAGATTATTTATATAACATTATACAACTATACAACAGACCTTTTTTGCTTCTTTTATTACTTGTTTAAACTGTAAAATGTCTGATTATGGAGCACTGATATTTAAAAGAATAAATACATGTATTAAATAGAAAGCAATACAGCTTTGGAATGACATAAGCATGAGTAAATATTGGCAGAATTTTATTGTTTTGGGTGAACTATACCTTTAAGCAGTCAAGCTGAATCAGTTGTAACCATGGTTCCCTGAGTAAGGACACTGCATCCTCTAGGGGTCGCTATGGGGACCGCCTCGTCGTGACCCGTGTCTGAAGCATACATTGAAAAAACACAAACACGTTGACCGGCGACAGTCATGACGTCACTACCGGTGCAACTATAGTATAAATAGGCGCCGGGAGAACACATCATCCACTTCTTCGTCTGAAGCCTGCATCCGAAGCATGACAAGAAACCTAGAGGACGCAGTGTCTCGTTCCCTACTCAGGGAACCATGGTTACATACGTAACCCGAGATGTTCCCTTTAAAGGGAACTTTGAACTGCATCCTCTAGGGGTCGCTATGGGGAATGGTATACCCACGCCACCATGCTGAGGGGAGTGCATGCCAGAAACCATGGCGAGCACTAAGTACCAACTCTACCATAGCCATGGGAGTTGCCCCTGGAACGTTAAGACGGCTGTCAGTGACATTATACACTATGGCCAAAGGCCTAGGCTACATACCACAAAGACTTACCTGTTAGGGTCAGAACTCCTGGGCCCGGGGTAGAGCTCAAGGCTTGGAATCAGGAATAGATTATTTTAAGGGAATACGACCACCTTCTAGGGAAGCCTAGAATCATACTAAGTCTTGGCCTGTCACACAGGGGCTACTGCATGCTCTGCATATGCTGAAGGAACTGTCTCAACAGACCCCTAGTAGCAACACCCTGTTAAACTAGGTATCCAGAGGGTACACAAATGGAGTGGTGCCCAAGGCGGAACCGGGGCTTAACCAGCTCGAGAGGGCACGAAGCCTCGCAAAGCACTTACCATACAGGATTTTAGAAAGAACGCAGAGTACTAGCGTGCAAACTTACCAGTGTGGATTTTAGAAAGTGTACAAAGACTTACGTGCACACTTACCATAACATGGATTTAAAAATACCGTTCTAAGGGGCTCTCATGGCACTCTGAAAGAGCAGCCCATAGGGTCTAAACCAACTCAGAGAAAGGGAACAAGGCAAATAACGCGTAACCCTTACCATACAGGATTTTAGGAAAGTGCGCAAAGTACTAGCATGCCCACTTACCATTATGTGGATTTCAGAAAGTGCACAAAGCTTAGCGTGTGCACTTACCATAGCATGGATTTAAGAACTTCCCAAGCATATGTTCACAGATACCCGGAAGTACTGAGCCAAACAGGAGAGGCAAGCTCAAATACAACCCTCTAAGGCGAGGGGAGCACTGCCTGAGACAGCATTACACAAGAAGGTTCTCGCAAATGCTACCTATACTTCCCGGTCGATGCCTCAGCAAGAGGGGATATCCTGGTGACCAGGAGGCCCCTCAGGGCAACCTAGATACGGTATACCAAACAGGGCAGCCTGAAAGTATAAGCCCAGCCAGGACTTCCAGGAAATTTTGCAGTGCCGTGCCGGGGGCCTGATGATCAAGAAGGCTCCCGCAGAAGCCTGTGACCTGGCCGCATGATCCAGGAAGCATGAACCCGAAACCAGTCTATCATACCGGCTGGACATCATATCGACGAGTGAAGTAAACACTGCAAGTCGAGCACCCGGTTTCTGAATCCAACAGAGGGGGGTGCTCAC